CTATTACTAAAATCTCTAATAATTGCTCTTTACTGTTTGCAATTTATGTTATATCATCTGCATATGCAATTGCTGCTTAACAATATTTTGTAATATTGTTACATTACTTGCCTTTTTGTAACTGTTGTTCAACTGTATACCCTAAACTATCATCTTCTTGAATTTTCTTTAATAATGGGTTATAGAAGAGACATCATATTAATAGTAAAATTACTTTTCTTTGGTTTATTCTATCTTTTGCTATTAGTTCTTCTATTAGACTATAGACTGTAATTATTCTTAATTGTCTTTTGTGAAAAAGATTTAATATATATTTAATTGTTCTTTTAAGTATTTTGACTCTTTGCAATACTAGTTCAAAACTTTCAAGAAGGACTGAGTTGAAGGTTTTTTTTATATCCTGCAACAGTATCCATATTTTTTTATCTTTTTCTTTTGCTTTCTCTATTATTATATTTAATATCTGTACTAGTTGCTCTGTTGAGTTTCCTAGAAGGCCTGCAAACTTTGGACCTTTAAGTATTTCTCTTTTCATAAATACTTTGGCAAGCCTTTTTGTTATTATCTTTGTTACAACTTTTCTAAATGTTTTAATTAGTACTATTGCTGAATGTTGTTTAAACTATATCTTCATTCTATATCTTTTGGTATCAGATATACTTGTGCTATTTTCTACTTTGTTGGAATTTTTTTTATTTCTAGACATAAGTCTGCAAAACTCTAAAAACTTTTTGCATTTTTGTTTTTGCTTTCTTGATTAGTATATAGCTTATACCTAAGATATCCAGAGCTGTTCCTGTCTTTAACTCTCTTAATTTCTTTTCTTATTCTTTTTTTTTAATTTTTCCTTCAACTTCTGCATATTATTTCTTTCTAATGCTTTTTCTTGGTTTGTGTATCTTCTTTTACTTTTCTGTTATTGCTTCTAATTTGGTATTTCTTTTTCTAAACTGCATTTTATAATGTTTTGCTACATTTGTCTTAACCTCTTCTTGCTTTGTTATTAAATATGTTTTCTCTTTTTCTTGCTTAATAAGCCTATCAAGCATTATCTTTTTATATAGTTTATTTAAAAAACTGGCAAGCATTTTTTCTTGGTTTGTTTTGATTATTTCATATCTTTTGTCTATATTTTCTTCTATTTATCTTCTTTGTACTTGTTTTCAGTCTTTTTTCTTTCTTTTTTGTAAGAGCTTTTGTCATCCTTTTATGTCTTCTATTTAGGCATATGACTAATGCTTTTATAATTTTAGCAGTTTTGTGCCTATTTTGTTGCCTAGTGTCTTTAATTGTTTATTTGTCTTACTTCTTTTTTCTTCTGTTACTTCTTGGTCCTTTCTTGTCTTTGCATATTTAATTAATTTTGTAGCTTTACAATATCTTTTTCTTGTTGTTGTGCTTTCCAATTTATTCTTTTATTTGCTATTGTGTTGTATATTCTTTTTTTGAGTATGTGCTTATTTGCTGCAGTAATAATTGCTTTTTCTATTGTATCTCATATGCTGTTTATTTTGTTTATATGTTTCTTTATATCTTGCACTTCTGTTTGAATGTTTTTTAAACTTTTTTTTACTTCTAAATACTTTTGCAGCTCTTGTATATAATTTTCCCAATTCTCTGGTTTTGTCTAATTATATAAATATAATGTTCTTGATTGTTCTTTTTTTTTAACCTCTGCTTTACTGTTTTTCTCTATTACATGTTTAATTTATATTTCTGCAGTTATAATTTTATGATCACTCTTTGTAATTCCTTCTGTTTCCTTAATGTTTGCTTTTTGCAAACCCAAGGCCAGTTTTTTTGACACCCAAATATAGTCAATTCTAGTTGCAGCTTTCTTGTTTAACCATATATAATTTTGGCTTGTTGGATGCATATTTCTATATATATCTATGAAATTTTGTTTTTTTATCTAATCAAAGATCAGTAGTCTTTTAAAATTTGCTAATTATGAGTATTGTCTATTTAATATATTGTCTGCTATATAGTTAAAATCACTCATAATTATGACTTGTGTTTGTTTTTTCTGTTTAGTAACTATCTCTACAATCTTTTGTTAAATGTTTTTCCCTATCATCTTGTTACTTGGTAGTATATAGACTTCTATTACTACTAACTCCAATTGCTTGAAGTATAGCATGATCTCTATCATATATTCACTTATTTTCTTAACTGCACCTACATGCTTTTCCTATTGTACTTCTATTAGAATTCCTATATAATCTTTTTTTCTTATCTTCTACTGTATTTGTTTAGTACCCTATATAGTTTTTGTTTACTGCATGTATTAGAAACCTTTCTTCTCTTTCAGTAATGTTTGTTTCTATGACTCCTAATAAAGGCCTGCATTAGGTCCTGCAGCCTAGCCTGGCCTGGCCTAGCCCATATATTTTTGCAGGCCAGGCTGGGTCTGAAGCAAAATTTTATAATTGTAGACTAGACTAGGCTAAAAAATTTGCAAAACTTTATAATTGCGAGCCAGTGCAGGCCTAAAATTTTGTAAAATTATATAAGAAATTTTTGCAGGTCAGGCTGGGCTGGGCCAGGTTGAAGAAAAAATTTAACATATGTAGACTGGGCTGAGCTAGCAAAAAAATGATAATCCTAAATGTGGGCTGGGCCAGGCCTAAAAAAAATTTTTAATCCTAATTGTGAGCCAGGCCAGGCTTCAAAAATAGGCAATTTGCAGGCCTCTAACTCCTAATATTGCAATTGTCTCTTTTTCCACCTAGCCAAATGGATTTTCAAGCTTCTACTCTTTGGTTTTAATCTATTAATATTATAATATGTTATTTTAATTTCTTTCTTTACTTGTTTCTATTTGTCTTTTAATTAGTTTTATTCTGCTTTTATGTTTTTTTTTTTTTCTTTTTCTAGTTTTCTTTTCTTTTTGATAAGAAGTTGTTATGCTTCTCTTGAATATTTCTCTTTCTCTTTGTAGAAAACCTTCAAGCTTCTCATTTGTTTTTATTAGTTCAACTAAGATGCTTTAGAAGTGATTAGCTAGACTATCTTCTGTCTCTAGCTGCATTTTTTCTATTAATTTGTCTTGTTAAACTTTGAGTCTGTCTAGTCTTTCTAAGGTTTTTTGAAGCAAATCTTGCATTTGTAGTTTAAAATTATCTTCTTTTGTTTGTTTTATTTGACTACTACCTTTGCTTTTGTTGTTTTCTCTTTTGGTCATTTCTCTTTTGTCAACTTTCTGCTTTTTTTTATTTATATTGATATATATATTTTTTGTATTGGAGTGTCTTTAACTGTTGCCACCTTTTTTTTTTCTATTCCACTTTTCTTAGAAGTTTTTTCAATATAGAAAGTGGTTGTTAAATCTTATTGGTTTGAATTGTGCTGTTTCTATTTCTTCTTCTGATGCAAAGGTGATTGTTGCTGTTTTTTTTTAGGTTCCATTTCTGTTAGGTGATATGTAAACTGATTTTGCTCTCTTATTTTTTAGGCAGTGTAGTAGCAACACTTCTGAAGCATTGCCTAGAAGCCCTGTTAATCTTGTTATAAACAAGTTTTGGAGATTATATTAGGTGTAATTTTTATTACCTTTGGTTACTTTTGCTAACTTGTAAACACTGATTGGCAAAATTCATAGGATGTTCTTATCAGTAAATTGATCTGCTTGAATTACTGCTAGTACTTTGTGCTTAGATCTTTTAATGCATATTATTTGCAACTTCTTGAAATTTTTACACATATGCTTAATTTTTTCTGCGTTAATGTTCACAGATAAGTCCTATATTATAAAACAGTTATATGAATTTATTTTATTTTTTGTTATAAACAAGTCTTTTTTCTTTTTATATTCTTCTCTTTTAGATTGGTTTTTGTATTTTTCTTTCTTTTTTTTGTTATTGTTTTTGACTTGTTGTTTAAGTTTTAATTTCTTGTTCTTCTTTTTTTCTGGAATAAGCTTAAGTCATTTAACTTCTTTTTCTTGAATTCTGTTTATTGCTGCATCTCAATTATGTTTACAATTAAAGTCTACTTCTATCTAGTTGGTTTCATTTTTAAAACTTTTTTAATTGCTTTAATGTGATAGTTTTTGCCCAAAATCCATTGCATGTATTTTATCCTTTTATCACTTGATTCTTCTAGCAAGATATATGCAGGCATGCTTGCTTTGAAGAACTTGTTCTTGCTATATATTCTATTTTCTGATGACCATTGGCTGTACTCAATTGTGTCAATAAGAATTGGATCTCTATAGGTTATGTTTTCTTCTTTTAATTCTATTATTTTCTTGTTGATATTTTCTATATTTTTTTTAACATCTTGGATAATGTTATTTCTTAGTGCCTTTGTGTTTTTCTTTATTTTTTTTTTTCTTGCTTCTTCTGTTTTATTTGATTTATTTATAGGAGTTTGGTTTGTGCTTGATAAAGAATTTTTTTGTTGCATGTTTTGTAGTATATTGCTGTTAAGCTTTTTCATTTGCTCAATAATTTCATTTATTCAGCATTTTACTATGATCAGACTGCTAAATAAATTTATTGTTTGGCAATAATCATTAATGATCTGTAGTTTATATAAGTTTATTTTTGTTATTTGGCAGTTCAATTCCTTTTTTTATTAGTTATTCTAAACATCGAAGTGAGTTTATTTAAGTTTATTTAAGTTTAACACATGTTTTTAAAACTCTATTATATTAAGTCAAGAACTAAGAATAAAAGTATTATTTTTAAAATTCTCATGAATTTGACCAATGCTATAAATAACAATATTTAGGTCAGAATTATTATTTAAAAATCCAGTAAATTAGGCAAGAACAATTAATAGTGAAAATACTTTTTTCATAACTTAAAATGATTATTAGGGCTAGACAATTAATAGCAAAAACACTTTTTTTATAACTTAAAATGATTATTATAGCAAAGCATTAATTCTGTAATATAAATATAATATAAGCATATAATATAAATGTTATTTGCTTACAACACTTGAAATTTTATTATTAGCTTATTATGCAGTATATTTGAAGTATAATTAATTGTTTAATTAATAGTAATGTGTCCAGCATTAATATAATAATTCTTTATAATCATGCTGGCATCATTATTTACTTTAAATTCTTGATCTTGAAAACATATTTTAAAAATAAAATAAATTAATAAAAATCTATTAATTGTATTAGTTATTAAAAAATACAATAATTAATATGTAATACCTTTAGATTCTTGTGTTAGTTTACTATTTCTGCAAATAAGTTGGCAACTGCCAAGAGTAAGCACAGGTTTGGATGCATTAATATGTAAAGGAAGATTTTTTGCTGAAAGAAGTTGACAGAAAGGTTTAGTTAAAGATGATTTATCTTTAATTAGTGGTGTTGCTTGAAGGAACTATAAAATAAAAAAGTTAAAAAAAAAAACAAAAAATAATAATATAATAATAAATTAATCTTGCGCACCTACTTGATTATTTGATGAAGGTAATGTTCCTACACTACTGATCAGTTGAGATAACATTTCTTCCTTTTGTTTATTTGATGGATGTGCATAAATTCTATATGAAGATTCACTTTTATGGCCTGTAATAGACATTGTTATAACAAGGGGAACATCTTTTCAGAAAAGTACTGTAATAAATGTTGATCGACCTGAATGATTTATGATATTTCAATTTCCTAATCCAATACCAACTACTGTACATATATTCTTTATGAATGACTGACATATTTTTTATCCTAATCTGGCATCGATATACCATTCATTCGATAAATCTATATAATGATAAGTTTAAATAATGTTAGATCATTTAAAATTAAAAATTTAAATAAAAAAAATTACTTTTTTTATTAATTTGCAAATGTAAATATTTGCAATTAAAATCCTTAGGCCTTTTAGAGAAATAGTATTTAAAATCATAAATTGGTCCTTGATAACTATCTGGATCTGGTGGTACAAGAACAATAAAAGCATCTAGTTTTCTATCAACACCATCCTGATCATTTTTTTGTGAATATTTTATAAATTGAAGACCTTTATTATCTATAAATATAAATTGAGATATTAATAATTTATAATGTTTGCCACCATGTGATTGAAACAATAAGCAATACTACATAAAAATGCAATATTGTAATCCTTGTAGTGAATCAATAGAAAGTGCATTATGATGAAATATTTGCTGTAATTCTTTGTCAGTTAGATTATCATAATGGCATGCGACCTTTCCAATTTTCTTTAGCATTTTTATTTTTCTATTCAAGGCTTTCTACAGATGTCTAAATTTATTTTTGTTCATGAGATTAAACATTTTAGATCTATTAGAATGCTATAAAAAATATACACTTAATAGATTAATGCAATTAATTAAGAATAATAGTGCATATTCTTCTTGGGTTTTAACTTAATGAATCCCCAAGATAAATTCCATCATTACCTTTTTAAACTGTTCCTTATTTGTAATAGTTTCAATTTCATAATCATATCCAACTTCATTGCATCAGTTATTTAAAATCTGAACCCACTTAATAGTAGCTTTTTGGATTTTTTCTAAAATAGTGCTGGTAATTATTGTATTAATTTCTTCATTAGTTGGTTTATAATATGTTTTTTTCTTGGTTATGTTAGATATTTTAGGAAAAGAAAAGAAAAAAAACTTGAATTAACTTCTAATTAACTTAACTATTTAAATTTAACCTTTTTATTTATCACTGCAATAATAAATCACTTTAATTTAATGTCTAATTGTTGTAAAATATCATTATTGAGTGCTTCACTCCTAATAACTTCTGTATCTGGCTTGGAAATTTAGTGTGCCAGACTTCTGGGCCCAAAGAGGCCCAGAAGGCTGACATATAAAATTTCCAGACCAGATACATCTTTGTATTCATCACCTGATATTAATTAAATAGTGATCAACTGATCACTATTCAATTAATATTAATGTGCCAAATACTATTGTTATTAGATACATAGCATCCAATAACTTATTATTACTGCTTGGATTGGTTTTCTTGAGGTGTTTTTTCTTTTGCTGCATTTTGAATCATTTTTTTGTTATTGATGTTTGCATCTTTTCTATGCTGTTTAGTTTTTCCATTCTTTCTATTTTTCTCTTTTCTTTAAATATTTCTTCTTTACTCATGTTTGTAATATATTTAGCTGATTTTGGGTTCTAATTTATTAGCCTGAGTCTTTGTGTTCATTCATCTATTATATCTTCTTTGAGCTAACTTAATTTTGCTAAACTCAAGGCTTTAAGAATTTGTCCATAGAGTAGTATATCACTTAGTGTAATATGATTTGAGTTGTTTATTGCTAGGTCCTTTGCTATATGTTCTATATTGCTTGGTTCTTTTGTGGACATTGTTAGAATTTGATTCAACAATTTAAAATTTAAGTACCTTTGATTTTTATCACCTGCCTCTTAATGTAGTACATAATATTCATGTTATTGGCCTAATCTATTTGATCTATTTGTTAGGCTTCTATACTGTATAACTTCTATTTGAGTTGTTTACATGCATTCTGTGTTATATTACTATTTACTACTAATCTATCTATCTATTTTTTAATTAAGAATGTAACTTCTTTGTTTGTTGTTTGTTGTTATTGTTTGGTCAGTTATGTGTTTTTTTCTGTTTTTTATAGTTAATCATAATTTCTCAAACTTTCGAATTTTATACTAAAAAAAAAAAAAATTTTCTCAAAGCAAAGTTAGTTAGTTAAAAATATATTTTTTATCACTACACTTTTATTGTAGTTTATGTATTCTTGAACATAAACTCTTTTTTCTTAAGATTCCAAGAACTGTTTGCTATTTTGTTTTGGTCATATTTTATGTTTTGTTTTCTGCTCTGCTTTGGAACTAGAGATCAGCAAGAAGAGTTCATATTAATACTATAAAAATAACTTTGAAAAGTATTGATATAGCTAAAGTAGTATATAAATATAGTTAGTTAAAGATAACTATATAAAGTATGTTTTTTAATAAATTATATAAATTAAGTAAATTATATGTATTAATCCATATCAATCAACTAATCAAATATGATCTGTAACAAAATCTAATATAACAGAAGATGACAAATACATTTTTTCATAAAATTTTTGTAAAATTTAAAAATTTTATTTATAATTATATATTTTTTTTTTGGTATTAAGGTGAGGCCTTGCTCATATCTTTATTAATAATTTTAACTGTATATTTTAGTACAAGAGT